CAAATCATCTGAATGAACTGGATGTTTATTGACATGTCATGGCGTGCGCTGCACTCAAACAAGCCAAGGTTTATTCTTTTTGATTATTCCCACTTTACAGCCAAAAATCACATCATAAACCCTTCCAGCGTCGCAAAAGCTTTTTCATGTCCTGTTCATTTCGCTTCTTGTGCTTAGTGTAAGGCAATTGTGGCCGACTAACAGTTGAGCATCTCTTGAACTACTACGTAATGGCCGTAAATTGAGATATGTAAGTTTCAGTTCCGATATTTCAGGTGTTATCCCCGCGTAACACTATAACGTACGCTTGTGCTGGTACCAAAAGTCGGAGATCTGGTGGATCTTTGGTTTGTCTTGTCGCCGGCGACGATGCGTCGGTCAATTGCAGCAATACTCAATAGGAAGGTTGAGATTGAGTGAATTGAGAATCTCATTACTAAACCATTAAATGGTTACAATAAAAATTTATTTATTTATTTTATTTATTTACATAATGGACGATAAGTGCGCACGAGTAAATATATTACAATAGATAGATGAGAGAGTATGAGAGGATAAGGATAAAGGAAGCCAACATGTGTAAAAAGTAGACAACATCATTTCAGCAGTAATCTATTCAAATCAATGTTGAATAACTTTCTCTCGAACATTTGGGCATTACTTGATTGTAGAATATGAGGCGGAAGATGTTGTAACCATCTTGCACCTCTACAAAACAACACGTTGAAAGTTAACAGAAATTGCTTTTTATCGATTGGGGGATAATGCAAGTTGAACGATTCAGAGCGTTATTGGTGGGCATAAATATCCAGTATTTATGACTTTGAGTCTGATTTCTTTACGTAAGATTTTAAAGCAGAGAACCAGATCAGAGACTTTTCGACGGTATGCCAAACTTCGCATGTTGAGGATTTTCAGACGATTATTGTAATCGGGAACGTTTCTGTTAAACCAGCACCTGCGAAATAGTAATCGAGTTAAAGTATGTTGTACCTTTTCTAGTATCCTCACATCTTTCTTACAGTAAGGGCTCTAAGCTTGTGAGCAATATTCAAGATAAGATAACACATATGTTCTGTACAAGAGCTTCAAAACTAAAGGATTTTGTGAGTGTATATTCCGAAAAATGGCATACAGTACAGTGGCAAATGGCATACAGTAAAGGACCATCGATGGTTCTGAGAGTGATGGCTTTAATTTCTTTAGAATCCTGAGGGTGTCATTAGTATTGAAATAAAATTGTAGTGGGCGATTTTCAAATTTTGGAAAATTTGTTCCTTGGCTGGAAACCGTGTTGTTGGGGTTATGAGTAAAAACACTAGCAAAGTATTGAGCTAGGGCATTAGCTTTGTCAGCATCACAACAATAAGCGTTTTCGTAAGTATCTTTGATTAGTAGTAGACGAGGACATCCTTTTAGTTTTCTGTTAATGTAATGGAAAAGATATTTCGATGATTCTTTGGAAAGCAATCTACATTCACGATTAGCAGGAAACTTTTTCAAATGTGGATTGAGATCTAAGGAAACTTTCTTATAGACAACATCAGCCCTAGGATGAGTTAGATGCATGAAAAGGCGTTGTTTTTGTTCAAGTAAATTTTGAATTTGCTTGGGATATCGTACTTCGGTATGTGAGGGAATTCGAAAAGGTACATACTTGCATAGAGCTTCATAGATAACTCTGCAAAATCTCTGATAAATATCATCAACTGATAAATACTGGTCGAAGACATGCAGCCAATTAACACTGAGTAGATATTCATTAAGAGAGACAAAATCAGTTCTAAGGAAATTGGGTATAGGAGTGAGTGACGAAGAACATAGTGCCTCTTTTAATTCAAATTGCACCATGGAATGATCAGAGTTTGCAAGGGGGGCGAGTATTCGTACATTCGATATTTTAGGCGAACTAGAAAGATGGGTTGCTCTATTTACATATTGACGTAAGTCTAATTGATTGAATAAGCCAAAAAATCTAGCAGAATATACATCATGCTTATTATTGTTCCAGTCAATATGTAGATTGAAATCACCTAATAGTACAGTATCAGAATTTGTACACTCAAAAGTTGCAAAAGGCAGTCATCGTCAGCTATCTGACAGTTAGGAGGTCGGTAAACTAATATAAATCTAATTTTGCAGGGTTTCTGACTCGAATATAGGTCAATACATAAAACATTAGCTTTCATGTTTTCATTAATAGCGACTCTTTAGAGTACTAATGAATCGTATGCTAAAATGCACACTCCACCTCCTTTACAAGTATTTCTGTCAAGACGAAAAATTGTGTACGGCGTGTCTGCTATAATTTCGCCATAAAAAATCTTACTCGTAAGCCATGTTTCAGTGATAAAGACAATGTCTGGTTTAATTTCTGCTAAAATAGAATGGAGGTGGTGTAATTTGTTGACTAAACTTCTAGCATTGATGAGCAATGCGTTAATACTGTTCATCGCGCCGTGCTGACTTAGAAATTTACCGACCTTTTGCTGGGCAGATCATCGACATGAGTTAGTTTTCCGCGATAGACGACCCATTCTTTCCTTGGTTTGCCATTATTCCGTTTTTGTACAGCTTGTCTCAACTCATATTCATTCTGACGCTCTTCTCTACTCATGCTTTTTCTGATAAACATATTTGTCATTCCAGCGCGATGAACTAGATGAGCATTCCTTAGAGCTAGTTTCCAGTAATAGGTCGATGGCAGAACTAGCTTCACTAGTCTGGGACGAGTTGTACTGGGTTTGGCAACCCAATAGATTTCGCTGGGAGAACAATCAACATCTAAAACATCTAATACATCGTCGATCTTCTTTCTAAGGGAGCCTCCAGACCGCGCCGGGATCGCGCCGGTTGTCGCTTTTGCAGCCATTAGCTGCTTTCGCGCCGGTTGCCGCTATTGTAGCTGAAACGCACAGTGTCGGATTTTGTCCTTGGAGCGTCGCGAGAGCCTATTGGCACTAAATGCTAGGCTTTTCAATTCTTTTGCCACCACCCTTTTGTTTTCAAGGTCCTCTTCTTTCCGTAGGTAATTCATGCAGGTTCTACGATGCTGGAGTAATCGACTCATTGTCGAATATTCAGTTTGTCTACCTCCTGCTGTAGAGCTGTTTCTTTAGGCAAAAAAGTGATGAACGGCGTTTTGTCTTTCATTCTCCAGGCTATTCTTTTACAGTGGTTGATCGATTTCGTATAGAACAAAGTTTCTTTAAATTTGTCTTTAGTTTTGAACTATCAAGAGTCATCGTGTTGCGGACTTCCCCTGAATGTAAGTGTGAACTTGTTGAAACTTCTTGCAGCATTGTTTTTCGTTCTCTTCGGTTAACTTTATCATCAGGAAAAGCCCCCACTTGCCTCTGCACAAATCTGGGAGCTGGTAAATTTTTGCGGAACGCTGTTTTTTTTTGTACATTTCGTTTTGATGATATTGCTCTGCTGTGTGGTTGTGCAGGCAAGGTTTTTCGATGTCTTATCCGATTTAAGGTTGGTCTACTATGCTTAATCGACGATATCGTCGCAAAACGCTGTTTTTTGCCTGTCTAATTTTACAGCTACTTTACTATGTTTGAAGGTACACTTACTGATCTAAGTTTCGTTTAACTACTTAAGATTAGCTATGTTGAAGTGAACGGTATATATCTTGAATGGAGAAGGAAAAGGCACCAAATGACTCCGCTTTGGAATAGATCGTTAGTCAGCGTAGTGAAGTACCAAAAGCAAAAATATTAGGTTGAACACTAAGTTTTGCAACTGGTTTCATAACTTCCCTCTTACTCAACATGGCGCACTCAAATTCTGCCACTGTGTTGGTTATTACGTAAGCTACAAGCGCAACTGCTGTCCTACCAAATTCTGACGTCGCAGTGAGGGTTACGGTAGGTGCATGGTATGAAGGGGAAAAATTCAAAGTTTGACGGATTTGGCTGAAACTTGGCATAGGGGTATTATCCGACATGCTGATCACGAAAACAATAGTGAAATTGCGTGATAAGGGATTTTCTGTAGGATTACTGTAGGTGTACGTTATGGGGTCTCACCCTAAACAAGGAAAAAGGCGTTGATTCAACAAATGAATATGATATTCGCGTTCGGCAGGTCAAATAACCTTACTATGTGAAGTCTCGGCGGAATTTGAGCTTCGGACTCTTTAGTCATTGACGGTCGTTCCAGCAGCTCTTGCGTACATTGACTTGTTCGACTTTGTGAGGACGCCAAATCTCGACATGCCCCTGAATTTTGTTTCTTTCTTACAAGGCCAAAGGAGTCAACCTCCAGCAATAATTTGTAGACGAACCCGGATTACTGCGCATGGTCTAGGCTGCTAAAGGCTTCATGTTGGCTTGAAACCCCAAAAATTCTCAAATTTCAGTAGTTTTCAAAAAATGCCTGAAGCTTTTCTATTTCGCGTTCAAAATTTAGACAATTTGTGCTCACTTGTAGATCACATTGTATTCTACATAATGCCAAAGTTTGAGGGCGCCATGTTGAGTGAGAGTGAAGTTATGAAACAAGTTGCAAAACTTAGTGTTCAACCTAATAGTAGAGAGAATTTGAGTTCTGCAGCTATATCGCTCCTACGGCATGATGAAATAGCTTCAAAAACAAAGGAAGTACATTCGCAACTTGCTTATCCAGCATAGTCAACCAGTTTCAAAACAAGAAAGACGTCGAAAGGGCTGCCTTGCAATAGCTCTAAAGCGGGATTTAGACTGAAAGGGTTTCACTCGACAATGAATCGATTTTTCCAGCATCGTAGAGATCGAAAAAACGAAATCCAGATCAAATGAACCACATCTACAATGAATTACTACAGCAAAGAAGAGAACTTTGGAAATAAAAAAGTAATGACAAAGGAATCGAAAAGCCTAGCATCTGGTGCCAGTAGGCTCTCGCTACGCTCCAAGGACAAAATCTGACACAGTACACTTCGGCTGCAAACGCGACAACCGGCGCGGTCCCGGCGCGGTCTGGAGGCTCCCTAAGGTATTTTCGCCGTTCAGATGTTTTCATTGATGATGGTGGTTCTTCAAACAGATATTATCAAACTGCGTGAGCGTTTATCTGTTTCTATTGCATCTGATATGTCAGCGTTAACCTTTTCTGCAAGAACGGCTAGCATTTAAGCTACAACTGGGTTCCTGTTGATTTTAGCAATCGAAGAAATGAGTTCAGCAGCTGACATTCTGCTTAGATCTTCTTTTACAATGCTAGGAAGCATCCGACTTTCTTCAACACTTACTTCACAATGATCTTCATTGGCATTTATACTTCTCCTTCACATATTCTTTGCAGGCTCGGTTTCACTGCAGGCGCTTTCTTCTTGATTCGAGTACCAATCGGCATTTCGAGTATAGACGTGGAGGATGAATAAACGGCAGCACCACTCACTCACGGTCGAGTCGAATAAGGGAATGAAATTTCAATCCAAACTGGTGAGATATTCTCTAACTACTCTAAATCATTATTTGGCATTTATGAATGGACGCAAATTGATTGTCTAAATCAGTATGAGTTGATCGAGCTCGTGCACAGATTGCATAGGTTGGAACGTAAGTTTTGCACAAAAAAATTAGAAAACTCATTTGAAAATATTCACAGCAACGTTTAAATGATGTAGTACTTTTTTCATTGCACCCATGATTTATGCACTACTTTACGTATACATTAAAGATTCTAGTTTAAACAATATCAAGACCCGAAAATAAGAGTAATTTGTCGTAGAGACATTCAGCAACATTATCTCGGTCAAGCATTGACCACAAACCTCTTTAAAAGGTGATTAAAAAAAGTTATTTTGGAAATATCTGAACCTTCCAGCATTTTTGGAGATTAAAAGGTGAAGAAGCGCAGTTATGTGTTTGTATTCAGCGGATTCTGTTGCCGTAGTATGACAATGATAATTCTTGCTGAAAAATTTTTACAGAATGTAATTCTACTTTGTATTATTTCAAAAGATACATTAAAGCTAAGGGAGGTCACGGAGATCTACACAATTTTGGTGCAAGACATATGTTCAAGCCTTACACTTTCTGCTACCGACATTAGCTTTGTTTGCTTAAAGGTACTACGACAGATTTTACACTTTGTGTCATCAACAAACAGTTGTCCTCAATGGCAAGAATCCTTTTGTGATCAGCATAATCAGCATGAATAGCCTCAGTATCAACCCAGCTTGTCTGTTTGAAGTTTGTCAAGGATTGGTGAAATCGATAACGGCAAAGAACGACTCTGTAAATAGTGGTTTTTGTAAAAGCACGGTACTTTGCACCGTTTTGTGGCTTCTTTCTGTAAGTTTACGGAGATTGTAAAATCATTTTAACCGGGTGAAGACAATGCAAAAGACCCTACATGTCCCTGATTTTTGAGATATGGCCATATTCATCAACAAACCCTGAGGCCAAACCTTATCATTGAGGGTATGTTTTACCCCAGAAAGCATAAAGCCCGTATTCACGAACACAGAGTAAGCATAACCTCGAGGGTTAAATCTACCCTTGAGGGTGAAATTTACCACGAAGCGACTAATAGCATATAGCAAGGTTAATTTTACTCTGACATTTCGTACAAACATAAAGTAATCCCTCGATCTACTACTCAGTCTCAACGATACTATTTTGACACCAAACACATCTTCTAATCATTCAATTTCCCAAGTCTTTCTTTCGTTTCGTCTAGTCATATTACTAAAACTAGTAAAAAAATTTTTTTTAGTATTTTGTTGGTCAGCTTCAAGTTTCTCTAATTGACTACGATAGTTTGGTCATGTATCAAAATATTTACTGGCGAGTATATTGGTGGACTAAGATTTAAATGGGGGAGTTCCATATTACGAACATTTTTCCGATTTGTTGAGCTTGATGTTCGCCAAATCAAAGCCCTTAGATGGACATGTACTTTATTCAAAACTAAATCTTTTTCCATAACCTCGGCCGAATATAATACCGGATGATAGCATGAAACAAAAACTGCGAAAGAGGCCGTAGAAAGTTTGAGATAGTAGTAAACATAAATATGTGTTTACTGCCAAAACAGTACGCTAGGACTGAGTAGTGCATTGAGGATCACTTGATCTTTTGAATTGTCAGAATAATCCAACCTTGCTCTACGATGGGCTTAAAAATTTACCCTGATGGGTTAGGCTCGTGAACACGGGTTAATCGCTTCCTGGGTTATAATTTCCTCAAGGGTAAGATTTACCCTCAAGGCTCGTTGATGAATACGTTCCAATGAACCCTGAGGGTTGATGAATAGCCACAGTATAAAGGTGTACAGATGTCTGAATCAAAGAATTCACGTACTTAGATTCTAGTTCGTGAACAAGGCGCTGCTTTGCAATATTTGTGTGACAAAAGAAGTCACTTGCACGACGCATGGCTTGGATGCACTTGAAGAAAGAAGAAAATTGAGCAAAGGAATAATTCAAATTTTACCCTTCTTTTGATACTGTTTTACAAAGGCTGAAAATGGTTCGGGATCCTCTACACGAACTCACTTTGTTTTTTGTTCACCGGTAGCAAACTGCTCATGCTGAAGAAGTACGGCCATAGTCCTTCTGCAGGACCTACCATAGCACGAAACAGAATAACTTTTTCATATTACAGGTTTGTCCACTTCAATGTAATGCGTACAAATCCTCATAACTTTGTTGCTACTCAATGAAATCATAAGCTAGTGTTTTCTTTTAGTAAACAAGAAAATTCTCCATAAATTTTATAGACCATTTGAAAGGAATCTGCCTTCAGCTTTAGTAAAAGCTTTTATTCTTTTTGGAGGAATTTCCATGCAGCGAGCAACGATTTTGGCTGAATCTCTTTCAAGCACTCACCATATATCTTTCTAGCGACTGATGTTAAGGGGGGGGGGTTTGCTTAAGGTAGACAAAAAGAAACTTGTGGGTTCAAGACTGAGCCAGCTCAAAGGCCAAACGTCATTTGTTGAAATATAAACTACATATAGTATGACGGGTTGCGAAAAATCCATTTTTGGCTTATTTCATGCAATGTTTTGGTGATATTCGCCGTCTCCATGATCTATTTCTTATTGGGTATTCCTGACAATTCTGGTTGGAGTTGCTATGGCTTGAAGGTTTACCAACTGCAGTCACTTCTTCTACGCAAATCGCAGTTTTTCGGGATCCTGAAAAGGCATCGGAAGCAAACTTTGAGGGGAGGTGGTACCTTCTTGGGTTGAAGCACACATTATGCACACTAATTGATTTTTTTTCAAAATAAAACGGGGCACCAGCTCGCAGGGAAAAGAATGTACCGCAGTGGTGCAAAATGCAAGTTTCAGACAGTTGAACGAATATGCTTACAAGGGAATGGTCAGAAATCGAAGTGGCCAATCCAGACAAGCTGCATACCATTAGATGCAGCATGAAGCGCTGTCCTCTTTATCTGCTTATCGCTTTTCTGGACGAAGCTATAAGCCATTAAAGGCCATTAATTTGCTAAGAAATTATGCGTGGAAATAAAAATTTAGCCATACAGAGCCACGATCGGCTCAATGCTGGACCAAAACATGCAGCAAATTTCCTTTAAATTCCTAAAGGCTAAAGCTGAGCTAAAAGTGCAACAATGTGCTCAATTTTGCTGTTTCTGTGTATGATTTCTTCACAAGAAAACTGTTTGTAGCTTCGTCCACAGAAGCGATAAGCAGATAAGGAAGACAGATTCGATGTCAGCGTTTTATACTGCATCGAATGATATACAGCTTGCTTGGTTTTGTCACTTCGACTTCTGACCATTCCCTTGTTAGTAGGAAATGGTCAGAACAGCCCAGCCATCCCAAGCAAGCTGTATATCATTGGATCGCCAATTATATGTTTATTCTCTGCCACGCGGCTATCTGGATGGAATTATGAGCGTTCGGTTATCAAAATTATTCGAGTTCCAACGAATATAGTTCGTTGAAAGGCAACTGATGGCGCGGATTTACAGTTATGGGTATTCTTATTAGATAAAGCACATTCACCAGAAACCTAATTAAGTGCTTTTGAAACTCATTTCATGGAACGTGCGTGTGGAACAGAACACTTGACAAGTCGCACATTCAAGCGCCCATAACTGCGCTTAGATAGTTGTTTGGCAGATAATAAAGATACATTTGAAGTCAGCTTTTCAAGACGAGTTCCATAATATATAGCTTGTTTGGTATGGCTGAATTAAGTTCTGATCATCCTGCTTGGCTTCTCAACGTGGTTTATCTTGACCCTACGGACTCTCCTGCTGGTCTAACTACGAGCAAAAAGCTTGCTTCCCTGAATCCATGCGACGTGATTTGCTAAAAGAAGATTGGTGAGAGCATGGGACGGAAATTTGTCAAAGAACCACTGCAAGCAATTTGATGAATTTTTTGGAAGAGATTCGAGAGAAAGTAAGTGCTTTTACAGAAGTCAGAAGCGATCATTTCGAAATGGATCTATAAGATCTCAAACAGAATATTCTTGCCTAACAAATGAAGACAAAGATTTCGTTTTCACTCAGTCTTTGCAGTGAAATTTCACACTTTATGTAAACCACACTGTAAATACGACTGGCTTGAGACAAGCTAGAAAGAGAATGCTATGAGTCGCGCAGGCAAATCTAAGAAGTGTGTAATGGAGGACTTGCAAGCGCCATTGTCACAATACAATTGCATCGTTCTAATTGCAAATTGACCCTTGGAAGAAATTGTGAGCATCCGAAGCTGTGAACTTATTAGAGTAATTGAATTCAATGTGTACTGTATGTCAACGTGAGAGCGTAATTACAATGGTATCCAGTATTTCGCTCTGCACCACCGTGAAAACTGCATTTCTCATGCAAGGAAAGGATACTTGGTGTCCCCAGCCATGTTGAATGCTATGTATACCGTAAGTGCACCTCTAAACGCTGATTCTAAATCTGTGCTCGAAATCTGCGACATCATCATTTGAAGGCAGTTATGAAGATTTCTCCGTAGGAAATTTGCGTACTTTTAGGTAGTTAAAATCTAGTTGAAATCACTCAATTTGATCTAAATTACCGTTTGAAGCTATTGAGGATAATCTTGAAAGGTGTAACGTTGTATTTATACCAATCTAAACCATATTCAGCAAATGAAGAGGAAAGAAAAATTTTTATTAATGATTTCCCTCCGCATTAGGGCAATTCATTCTTGAAAAAATAATTACAACTCCATCCAGGTTTTCCTTTCGCAGATATGAAAAATAGTATTCGAACCAGCATTAAAAGGCACATTTTTTGGTATACAAACCATTATGAATGGCCGTGGTAACCAAGTATCCTTCCCTAGATAGATGGGATGCTATAGATGAGTGCTTCCTCTATTTTGGTAGGATAATTTTTTCGTGAAAAATTTTTTTGGTAAACAACATATATATTTATTTCTTCAAAATCGAAAAAATCAATGTCTTACTCAGGCAGGGGCGCAGACAGGGAAGGGACAGCTGCAATAATACCAATAGTAAATCATTAATCCATATGAAGAAAGTTGCTTACCAAGGAGCTCTAGGGCAAAACCCAGTCAGGAGGATACATCTTTCGCCGCGAGCACAGCGAGAAGAGCATTCGGTGTTGCAGACTAAAAAAACTTGTACGCGCGATAAAGGATTTGAATCAAATCTATAATCTACCTGAATCAACACACTGTGGCTCAAAGAATGTGCCACTAGCCACTACGACGCATCTCTGATTTGATCTGCAGTTGAGACGAAGGCATGGGTCTGCTGTAAAGAAGTAAATGAGCAGAGTTAATTTCCATGTGTGTATGTTACTGGTGCCTGGGGTACGCGAAGTTAATCCTTCGGAGCTTTCTCTGCTAGTAGTTTGCGATATCCTGCGAGTTGTGAATTCATCACTTTCTCTGCTGGTAGTAGTTCTCACTGGTACACGAGAAGTACGTTCTTCAGAGCTTCTTGTGTCATCGGAATCTGTTTGAGCTATAACAGAGCTCAGCATGAGTGAAGCGATCTGAATATTAGTAGATGTGATGGTAAACCTAGGTGCTTCTGCGGTTATGACAACATTTGCGCGCAATCAATCCCAACGATCAACACGTGCGACCATGTGCATACGCGCGTATGCACGCCCTGACTCCCGTTTAGCATCTTCGGGCATCAGTTTTTCATGTGTAAACGAAAAGTTCTAAAGTAACTTCTATGCAGTAATAATGCTAGTGGCCTAATTGTCATATAGAACACAAGGCACCGCGATAGCTATTCAGAAGTCTAAACCGCAGGATTAGGTATCCATTCCTTATTGATACTGTCCAAAATGGCTAGGTCGTCAACGTGTTAAACGAATGCTGATACCTAACTTGGTTGCGATTTGCGCATAAAAACTGCCACACAGCACATATTCTCATGACTCATGCGCAAATGTTGTGTGGGAGCAAAATACTATGTTCACATGTTGTTACAAGCACAAGTTTTTCCTCATACTTTACAGTGCTAAGGTAAATTATCTTACCAGCAAATGAAGGAGAAAGCTCATTTGTAAACGTTCGTTGATTTGCAAACTTTTCACACAAACTGAAATGATCGAGATGAGCAAGAAGGTGCTGGTTACTCACAAAAATATTCTACTGCTATATATACCTAGAGCATTCATTATAAACTGTCCATGACTTTTGATGTGACAAAGATAGCCATAACATGAGGCTTTGCATGAGTTATGCAGTACTATGCAGATGTTGTCTGGAAAAACAGGCTAGGAGTTGAAGGTAACACCATGACTTATTGACTTTAAGGTTAGTGCAAAAACATGATATTCTGATCTCAATAAAATTTTCAAAAGTAAACTTTGACAAAAAATGTAGACATGACGCATCATTATTTCATTTCCTGTTTGTCTCCCAGGGAAAAATTAAAGTTGAATGAGTTTTCGCTAATGTGTGCATCTGCACATCATCCAGGGAAAGAACTATCTACAGGACTCATACGTTCTCATTTGTAATTTGTTTCTTTGCGATATAGAAGCAATTATGTTAACAGGAAGTTTAAGTGAAAAAAGTCATGACAATGAACAGTTTTCCACGATCACCCTTTACTTTCCGGAAAAGTTAAAAATGTGAGACCCCTTTGACGTATCATTTTTTGTTTTAGGTTTCGGACAGAGTTCACGCGATTTGTTCGTCGCGATTCAATCGCTACTAGACAAATGTTACGAGTTCATTGCATGCCGATCTTCTTGTATTTCGGGTGTGATAGTTAGTCACGATTAGTCGTGTTGGAAAATTATCACAACCGAAATACAAGAAGATCGGTATGCAATGAACTCTTAACAATTGTCTTGTAGCGATTGAATCGCGACGATCGAATCGCGTGACTCTGTCCGAGGCCATATGTATGGATCAAGGGATGTAGAACAAAATTTTTTGATTTAATGGGAAATCTGACCGCCGAAGTGCCATTTTATCTTGTCTAGGCGGTATTTTGAGAATTCAAATAGTATGTGGTTCAGCAGAACTCTGTAATTAGAGCAAAAAATCTCAGCTCTTTTGCTGTGATATGGAGTTTTTTGTATATTTGCACACTTTGTTGACTCAGTGTCAACAAATCGTCATCTATGTTGACCTAGTACTATAACAACAAGAACTTGTGACTTTACTGCGCAAAGGCGCTTTAGAGAAACTTCACAATTGGAAAGGTCAAGTTAAGTACATTTATTACAACTTTTTGTTGTACACATTTTCATTCGTGCGATTTTATACACGTTTAATCCAACTTTTCGTCATTTGTATACAGCACTTTACTGTTAAGAAAATTGTCTAGAGCCACTTTTTACATCATCTGAGTTTTAAATCAAGCACAAAATGCCTTTCATTGTTTTTGGACTATTGAAAGACTTTGCAAAGGCGAGTAGTGTGATCCTTAAATCAGATATGCTCTTAGCACATGGTCCATATTTGTTGCCATCTTATTTCTTTGCATAACTATGGAAAAGGAGTCTCGGAAGAAATCGAAGATTGTTCTATTAAGAAACTTTCCATTTGTTAATTGGAGTCTGAAAATCCGCCTGCAATCAAGCTCAGCGTTGGAAATGGTCGCTCTTACCGTTATACTAGGAGGCTGATTGAGCATTTTTTTTTGAGGCAGCCTATGCCTAGGACTTAAACTTGCAACTTACATCCTCTCAAAATAAACCCACGAACAAGAAGCATTGTTGTTAAGCGATGTCTTTTTTAAAGCACATCATGCTACATTCGCGCTAATACGACAGAGGTCCAGATAAATACTTTCCATCAAAAATATTCCAGCCCTTTTGTCAAAGTTTTGGAGGAAACTTTTCTGTGACCAAAGCTAATGTGATAATTACTTTATAGTCGGAATGATAAAAAAAATCAGTGGGCAGTTGCTTGAAAAACAAAACACTTTCTGTGTACTTATTGTACTTATCCCACAGACATTTTGTAATACTCTATGATGGTCGCTTTGTTTTCCAGACAGTATCACTGCAGTGCAGTATATTTTACAGAGTGACGCATTCCGAGTAATCCTACAGCATAAATTTGCTTATAAATATTGGCGATGACGAACATATTAGGTACTTATAGGCAAAAATTTTATTGAGTTCGCCTTTGACTTTATCAATTTTTTCGAACTATCAACCATATATAATCATTTCATTTAGATTTTGCAAGAATTCAAATCCGATACAAACTCCAAATGACAACTCTTTTACTCCCAGTTCTTGTATGTGTTTTTTATTGCTAGAATAATAGTTTTTTTAACCATTTTATCTATTCTATCTTAAGGTTGTCCTATTGGCTTTGAACGCCGTCGCTCCACAAACAAGCAGTGTAAGAACCACTACGAGTGGGGAGAGTGATGAAGCAGACTACAGAACATCTATAAGAACAACAACCAGTGGAGAAAGCGACGAATTTACCTCTCGTAACCCAACCAGAACCACAACGAGTGGAGAAGACAGCAGTGAATACACTACTCGTTAGTGAGAAGCACCAACAGCAGAAAAACTCTGGGACCACTCACTATTCGTGGACAGTGCAAACTTATGTAGATTTTATCTGTTACCTCAAACTACATAATAAACTATTTATGTGAAAGTTTGTGGAGTCTTACCTAATACCTAATACACTTATATTTCATTTAATAGTACCTAATTTCAAAACCTTTAAGAGGCCCGAGAATTGATATGGCTCAAATTACCCTATTTTCCACAGTATAAGGTTTTTTGCACCGCACGCGGGCAATGTCGAGCAAAAGCAATTAGGTACCACCCTTTCGCAACAATTACAGTCGTTCTCAGATTCTTTTGTCCATGTGTTGTTTTCAAAAAAACTATCCTACTGTACCTTTTATTTATCGCTATCCTGCAAAAGAATATTGGCACAACTTGGACACTTATCACAGAAACTCGTTGAATCAAAGCTGTCATTGAGACTGCTTATGCCTATGTTAGTTACCGAGTGTTTGTTACACCGGTGTCTTTCAAAATCAAGGGCACTCATACGGCAAACAATTCGGATAAACTCGAAAGTTCGGCCTTCTTTGAATCTTGGCATCGTTACTTATATTGATTTTTGCGTTCAAGCTTTACCCAAGATGTTAAGATCTTTATTCATGCTGCGTCCTCGCGTTTGTCAGAGCCTAGAAAATCAAAAAACTACTTATGACGTATCCTTTCACTCTGACCTCAGAGACCCATCCAAGAGATCGAGGTCTCATTTGACGCTTGGATGGTCAGATGCATTAGGGGATACGTCATAAGTGTTTTTTGATTTTCCAGGCTCTGACGAACGCGAGGACGCCGAAAAGTCATCATCAATAAAGATCGTAACATTTGGGCAACGCGTGAACACAAAAATCAATTCGGATAAAGCACAGAAGAGCAGACCGTTGAAGTAAAGCTAGACCCTAGGCGAATCTCCACGCATTTTTCGTTTTAATGTTCGCGCGGCAGGTGCGTCTTATATTAAGTCGATGCAAAACTTTCATCCGTTTTCACCATTCGATGCAGCTTTTCTCCACTTTCTGAAAGTTTTTTCTTTGCAAAATATGCGAGATTTGTAGACAAAATCGCCGTATTTCTCAGTTTTGCTGATGCCTTCTGTTGTGCCTATATTTCAAAATTTGCGTTTTTCAGCAGTAATCGCTCATACACCTTTTGAGATTAGTGATAGTAATGACCTAGTTTCAGAACTTCAATACTATAAGTATTTTGCAGTGTTTTTCCACTTCGTGTCACGCATTTTTTCATTCAATTATCTAGTAAAATAATCCAGCCAATTTATAAAAAGGAAAAGGAAAAATGCAGAAATTTGCACTTATTTGCAAAATGATAATGGGAATAATGATAGTGAGTTTCTTTCATATGGTTGTCAGAGTGCCTTTGAAAGTCAAAATCAAAAATTTTGAGAATTAGCTGAAGTTGAAGATGCTAGAAATAATTTTGAGAATTAGCTGAAGTTGAAGATGCTAAAAATAAAGGGTTGTACGCTTCGGCAATCATCTTAGCGCTCATTTGTCTTCATTCTAAGGCTTGTGCAGGTTCGTCTAAAAAAGAAAGGATTTTTTGTACCGTCCTTGATACATGGTGGGCCTTCTCCGAAAATTAGGATATTTGCGAAAAAATCGTAGCATTGAAATATGACAACTTAGGATGGACTAACTCACTATGAAAATACACTAGCGAGAGATAATGTATTCCACTGGCGTCTCTTGACATGGCTGATTTCTGTGCCTCTTAACGCGTACGCTTCTGATCTCTGTACAACAAAGTAGTCCGATGCTTCGAACTAATATATGTCGAAAATTCTAATTTAAACGTTACTTTGAGAACGGGACCAAACATTATCCTAAAACTGAAATCCAAGGGCTATCTACAATCACGCCCAGCCTTCCGTTTTGACGATGATATTAGGGTGTCTCATACTGCTATTCCTTTTTGCTGCAAACATCGTCTTTCAACTTTCTTTTAATTGAAGCAAATCAAGTAATCATTCGACAGAGCAAAGCAAGCTCTACTAGATGTCTATCAGGAGTCCGCACAAATCGTATTCCACATTAAGTTTTGAGCTGAAATCTGATAGCAGTCAAAAACAAACTTTTCTGCAAAAAATCGTATATCGGCCCCAAAAAATCTTAAGAACTCCTCATTTTTTCTAGCATATGCTTGACAAATTAAACATTTAAGAGTATCTTCCCGTTTTTTTCCATTGTTAGAAATAAAGAAAAAACGATTGAAGCTAAATGACAAACTCTGCCCCTAGACGTCCTGAGTTTCTTCCACGTACGTGATCATATAGCTCTCAGGGGCCGGGCATACTTCATGCGATTTCAGTCGCGACGCGATTTGGCATTTCGCCAAAAGTCTTCAAATCCAACACTAGCAAACTGCAGATGCATAGTGTGTAAAGCTTACGCGGAATGATAAAATGCTTTATCTTTTGTACATTTAAAATGTGCTTACAGTGAGTTATGGGCGATGCGAATATTGCCAAATCGCGTCGCGACTGAAATCGCGTGAAGTATGCTCGGCCCTTTACAGACCACTCATTGCACGCAAAGACTGTAGACGTATCGGCGTCTCGCTGATCAAGCGCTCTTTCGTTTCTCTACCATCTGCGGTCTCTCCCAGGCACGAGCTATCTTGGTTGGACGCAACGGCTCCAGTCTTTGCGTGTTACGAATCGCCTACATACAGAAGTACAACTATGTGTTTTTACCCTTTGAAGGTGTCCCAGTTTTTAAGAAATGCTGTCGTTTAGGGTAAAAACGGTAAAAAAAATTATGGGACACCCTAGCAGTTAGCTCTAACAATAAGGCATCAACGTAGATTGGACTGACTTTTGGAGAGGGATGTATCCCATTTGCCGTTGCGGTGGCGACTTGTTCATTACTGTCTATTCATGTACTTCTTCCTGACCCTTTCGCCTCAAGATTTGAAAAAGCGGAACCGCAGTCTTGATAGACTTCTTGAGCTATTCGAATAAAGCACTCATTATTTTAGTCCTTACACAAACGTTTGTAGGCGGAGCTGTGCAGAATTTTTTGCGACTCGACTTCTAGTAGATTTGACTAAAATAGGTGTACTTTGAGTATTATCTAGCTGTTGTAGCAGAACTAAGTTGTGTGCCTTCCGATTTTGAGCACTAATCTACTTGCCCAACAAGCAGATCTACCAATTCCAACACTAGCACGGAAAGGGAGGTATCCAAAGTCGCAATTTCTCGAACTGACATCATCTCGTCCACTTTTAGACTACAAAATGCAGATAAGTTGCATTGTTCAGTCATTGATTTGTTCGTCGACCATTATTTACTGAATTTGGTTGCTCCTGCTGAAAAGAACAAATTACCAGCTGTGTTGCCGCTAGAACCTTTGAAACTTTAGCGGTCTTCATGCTAAACTTTCAGTTGCAGAATGAGAATTTACTCGGTTATCTTACACGGAGTGTACCAAGAGATTACCTACCCTTTGATCGTTAATAACTCTCTTACCGCGACATCTTTGAAGATCTTTGAGTATCATTTTGTGGAGATGGCTTATACTTAGATTTACATTACAGAGCAAATCACCTTGTTTTTCGTTACGGTGGGGTCGCGATAAAAACTTTGAGTATGATTTTAGGCCATGGAGAGTCATATTTTGCTTCAAGTAAACGAAAGAAATTTCCAAAGCTAATTAGAAATGTGACTTTAAATATCAATACTGTATCTCAACATAATGCTTTCTTATAAGTTATGACAGGCAAGCGATGGCAGCTGTTTCGATGTTCGTGAAAATGTGGTTAGTATAAAAGCTACAACTTGTACAAAGTTGTATATTGAACTCATAGAAACCCTCTCACACAGATTTTTTTTATGAAAAGGCAGCTTTTTTCACAATTACCGGAAGTTTCTATATGGTAATTTTGAAGGAATTTAGAGCGACCGTGATTCGCTTCTCACTGTGAATCTAAGTTGACGCCAGCTCTTCAAAATGGTACCTGAAACTTTTCAAAAAACTTTCTAGCAAGAATGTTATTAACAATCAAAAATAGGCACATTTTGCATCACCCTGCCTATTTTTCTGTTTTTGCTGTGTTAGCAGAATCCATGAAATCTGCAAATCAGTAATTGATTTCTGTAAAAATAAGCATTATCGAATACTGCCCTCCTCAAATAGGATTTAAGGCCGTAGAACTTTACTTCAAACGGACTGCTATGAGCTCCACACGAAGAGCACCTCCAATTTCCAACGTAGCTGCCACCAGGCTTTGCTTGAACTTCAGAAAAATAAGAAGTTCCCTGCATGTACTATTCCCAGTACAATCGAATTCGCTGACCGATTCATTTTGACCGTAAATCTTTTTGCATGGAAATGAAAAAGTGTGAATACCATAGTGATGGCAAAATACTACGTGTTATAATGACGTCTTAAAATGTTGTGTATCGTGTATAACAAAGCAACACATCCACAATAGCTCCGATATGCAGAGTCAAGTTTCCCCTTGAAAAAATAAAAAGCAACCTTCTCAGCTAATAGGGCAACAACATTCGACCTAAGTTTTCCATTGTCAGCGGTTCGGCCCCCAAGTAGCAGGCCTGATGTCGTACCGGATGCACTTTTGCGGTCCAAAGGTCATGTGGATCCGCTTGACTCTCCTCGTTCCCACTGTTTTAGCAGACAATCGATGGGAAGAAAATGGCCTGTCAATCAAAAGTATGACAAACCACGAAAGGCTAAATATGTAAATGGGAAAGAAGACTACAAAAGGTAGCAAAAGCTAAGAGAGTGATGAGAAAATGGAAAAACTAGAACACCAAAACGACTCATCATTCCTGATGATTTACAATTCACAATATGGTGCTACGTACATCTCACGACTTCGCTTTATGTTTTATACACACTAAAAAACTTAGCTTGCTTATCAATCCTAGCAACTCTGAAACCAACGAACTACTAGAAAGAAGAAGAAATTTCGCATCGAGCAGTGCTTGAAGTATCCATTTACATAGGAATTTGCGGGTTGGGTTGGTCTGATAAACAACATGAACATTTGCACCAACCTAATAGTATAGAGTC